ACGGCCATGTTTGCACGTTTATTTTAACTTCTTCTAAGGAAATATGTGTTTATAATGGCAGGAAGCGAGCGACACAGTGAAGCTGTTAGCCTTCATCAGAGTCACGGATGCTCTGAGATTTGTCACCTTTTCCTTTTCTGTCATTTCGTTACCTCGGAGTACTTGAACAACCCAAGTGCAGTGTGCTGGTTTCTCTCAAAACGTGATTTAATGCCAAACTGCCAGAAATGAATGTTCTCAAAGTGAAGAGCAGCTATGAAATGTGACAGCAGAAATCATTTCAAGAATTTATTCTTTTACTGTGAGGAAAATGTCACAGCTCTGAGAAAAATGCGATGATGTCACCGGGCCGCACAGCGTGCTGGGGCGTGCCCCTCCCACCCCCACCACCCCTCAGGCCGACCCCGAGGCTCGGATACGTTCGGAGCAGCGATGTCAGGAATCCACGAGAGAGAAAAACGTCTCCTGATCCTGGTTTTGTTCTTCAGCCGGGCTGACGTGTGACGGCTGCTCGCAGTGAGGCCTGCGTCCAGTTATTTGTCCATGATTCTTTACAGTCTTTGCTTGTTTCCATGTGGGTTCATCAGGTTTGAGTGTGTCAGAGGAAACAGCTGCATCTCGAACACGTTGAAGGACAGCTCGTGATTTTCAGGTCTGGCCTGAGCGAGCCGACTGCAGCGTCTTCCTCCCCCTGCCTCATCTGTCCTCCAGAAGGACGTCTTCCTCGTTAAACGCCGTCCTCTGTGGACGAAGAACATCTGCCTCTGAAATAAAGCCTCCTTTATAAGAGACTATCTGAGGTTTATGACCAAACGCACCTGACTGTGTCCACAGTTACCAAAATAAAAGCTCAGATGGCGACGGCGCTGATTCATCTCTCCGGTTTATTCAGACGCTGGTTACGGGCAGTTTGCGTCACCCTTCTCATATTTTTGGAAGCATTTCCCAAACAAATTCCTCTTTGCCATCCCGTTGCCGACCTGATCCTCCGCTTGCAGAGTGGCGTGACGCAGACGTGCCGCGGGGAGCCGAACACGCGCACATGCTCAGTTGATCAGAGCTGCAGAGAGCGAGGCTGCAATAAGAATCATCACGCAGCTCAAAGTAAGACAGAGTACCAGATCAGTGAGTCACAGCAGCGGCCTTCATATCGACTCCTTTGAGACTGTTTGCTGTAATCGTGGCCTCTCTGGGCCTCCGTACATTTGAGTTTTTCCAGCTAAAGTTCTGATAAGTTTGCTTCTGATCCAAACTTGGACTCCAGGCTTAGACTGGGAGATTCCGGCCAGAGGTCAGAGGTCACGTGCAGCTACGGAAGCTGTCGGTCTCGTTACGTTGCTCGCTGGCACTTCAGCAGAGCTCGTCCTCCCTCGTGCTCGTTTGCATTTCTGCTCACTGAGTCGTCGTGTCTTCCATATCAGGGCAGGAAAAACTCCCAGCAGCCCCCTCTGCCCCCTCTCCGTCTTTGAGTTTCTGTGGTCTCTTTCTTCCTCCGTCCGTCCCTCCGTCCGGCGTCACTATGCCCAGCGGAAACACATTCCTGCCGTGTCACCCCCGTCACCCCCACCGGTCCCTCGGAAAGAAAAGCTGCTTCTCCAGAACGACTGGAGGCTCTTTTCATGTTCGGGCGTGACTCCGAGGCCCCCCAAGGAGACTCTGGCAGGGTCAGCGTGCCACAAAAGGCGGGTTAGCGCCGCTTAAAGCAAAACCAGCTAATTGACGATGTCTGCGTTTGTTTCTCAGCGGCGTCTTAACGGCAGCTTAAATCCTCAGAGGCTCCAAGGAGGGGCAGACAAAAAGCTTCTATAGTGAATTTGGCTTAAAGGTTGAGTTCACTGTTTTTTAATCCGGCCTTTATTAAAGCGCCGTTTCCTGTTTACAATATGAGAGGACAAAAGCTCCTCTTTTACTCACTTTTTACACTTTTTAGGAGGCTTAACGTGTAAAAAATGATCTCAACTGGTTTATTCCAGGTCACCGTGTTAGATAATAGCATACTTGGCTTTGCTGGTGAGAAATAAATCAGAAAAATAAAGCTGTACAAAAACCAAATCTCACATTTTCAAATCGAGGAAAAACGTTCACTTTAATCTGTGCCAGTCAGAAACTGCAGTTCCACTAATGTCCACCGGGGCTCCGGGGAGTCAGTCCCCATGAACTCCCATGTTAACGTGTTTGCAGCTCTGGTTGTAGTTGCTATACATCGTTAGGGGCGTGGCCTCTTTGACCGACAGGTGGATGGCGACACAGGCGGCTAGCTGTCTGCTAGCTTCACTGCAGCTAACTGGAGCTGTTGGAGGTTTTTGGGGCCTTTTTAATGACATCATGTGACCTGCTGTGAGGTTACTGTGGTAACAGACCGAGAAGACTTAAACCAGTGTGTGACGTCACAGCCTGCAGCTTACATCCAGCGTCTGGAAGCCTGTGACTGTACTTGATGTATGTTTATTTTTCTTTTAATTAAAATACTTTTTTAAACTCTGACAATAAAGCGATCCCTGGGGTGAAGGAGCTTTGGTGCACCCGGCTCTCCTGGGTGAGGGGTATGTTTGCTTCGCTCCACCAGCGTGCTCAGTCGCTGTAGCTAAGCGCTCGTAGTCATTTTAAGGATGGCTGACCTGTTCTGTGATTTAGGTAGAAGGACGAGAAGGAAACAAATGTCAAATATGTGAAACGGACACGTCGTCCAGCTGCAGGCGAGGCTGTTAACCCTTCACCTCTATCGCTCTTGTTAACTCCCTGTAATTCATCTCCATAAAACCTGAATCATCTCAGATTTATGAGGGTTTATTCTGCTGGAAGGCTCCACCTGCTCTCATAGAGCCACGTCTTTCAGAGTTTTAAGTTTCATCAACTTTCCTCTGTGCATGCTGGGAAACGGATGAAAGATGGTGGCAGCATGAAGATGGCTCCTCATCAGCAGGAGCTCTGTTCATCCCCGGTTTGTTTTTCCAGTCTGTGTGGCTTCCTCTTTGTGTTCTCAGGACGGCGCTTTGTCGTCTGTCTGCAGCGTCACTTCCTGCGGGCCCCTCCGGCCTCCTGTCCCAGCAGCCACCTGGACTTTGTTTGCCTCCCGATTGCTGCGACAACAGACGCTTTTGTCCCGTCCGTGAGGATGCGGAGGCGTGTTTCTGTGCGGTTTCTGAAGAGACGTCACCGACGGGTTTGTGTTCCTGTCAGCGGCGTTCGTCTCCTCTGACGCCTCTTCATAAACCTTTGATCCGAGGCTGGCGAGGCTCCACGGGACGTTTGCAGGTCCCACGTGTTCGCCGTCAGATCTGAATGAAACGGCCTTTTATTCTGAAACTGGTGAACTTCACTCAGCCCAGTTTGTTCCAGGAACTGAACCGGCTGTGGAGGAATGTGTGGGAAACCATGACGGAGCGCTTCCTTTTCATGCCGTGATCTCTGCGAGCACACAGACCTGTGAGGGGACGTTCTGGGGAGGCTACATAAAAGCAGCACGGTTGGTGTTCAGACCTCCGTCCACCCGAGGCCCGTTCTGCTCCCCTCACAAACGTCACCTCAGCGTCTTCCTTTTGTTTGATCTTGTTGCTCCATCTCTGCGTTTGAGCCGTTTCCCACCTGTGATGGGAACAGCTTTTGTTTTATGACTCTGTAAATATGTAATCATGAATGTTTGAAGGATATTTCAAACTCGATTACTGTAAACAGCCTCACAAGGCCGACACTTTGGGAACGCAGTGACACACATTTAATCCGTTGCTGAACATTTTCTTCATGTCTGGTTTTCATTCTTCTAAGAAAACACCTCCACCCATGTTTGACTTACCAATGGCCAGTGTCCATGCTTTTATTTTGACAGTCTACAGTGTTGTGGCCCCTGATTATAACTGGGCGGCTCTGCGTGACGGTTGGTCCTGGATCTGCTGTGGAGAGCAGGCTCACGGCCGTTCACGCCGACCCTGAGTTGGTGCAGAGGCGGCTGGTTTCAATCGTCTGTCACATCAGGAAATAAAAACATCTGCTTCTGTTTGTTTCACGCTGAGTTTGGTTTGCGGTGAAAAGACGAAGCGAGCGTGTTTGTGGAGATGAAAGCAGCACAGTAGCAGTTTGGTCTTCATGAGATGTGCTGATGCGTCCCTGATCCAGCGCTCCAGGGTCGGTGCTGTTTGTTAAACCGCTGCGTGAAATTTAAAACCTTCAGCCTGACCTCTGATTGGCCGCCTGTGTTTGCAGCGCTGTGTGAACGGAGCGGCCGGTAATTCAGAAAATGAAACCTCAGCGGTGACGTCCACCGAGGCTTTGATTGTGAGCAGTAAATGGGCTCGTAAACTCGGTGTGGTCCTCAGAGCGTCACGCACACACAGGGAGGACGCCGGCGGCGTGTTTGCTGTTGCTTCATTGTTTCCTGTAATAAACTGCAGCTCTTTGTGCGCTTCAGTCCTATCAGCAGCTTCACCTTTATTTGCCGTTGACACAGAGGGGCCCCTCCAGACCGGGGCCCTGTCAGCGCACTGTTTACAGAGCAGATTCTTTGGCTGAGCAAACAGCCGTACCCCCCGCCGCCCGGCTCAAACGCGGCGGCCTCCCTTTGCTCGCTGACTGACGGCTGCTGGAGCGCTCAGGCCGACCTGCTCAGACTCGCCAAATATGCGGAGACCGTCCGCAGCCCCGAGTGTCGCAGTCAGAGGAAGAACTGCACTTCACATTCCTGCTCAGCATTTCCCAAATCGCCCGAGATCATCCCCCCGACAGGGCCCGAGCGGGCGTCAGGAAACAGTCCTGCAGAGACACGATGCTCCGCAGAGATCCTCAGGTTACAGTCAGGGCGGAGGTACAGCTGCATCCAGCTGTGCTGTGCATGGTTTAACCTCCGCCCTGGAGCATCAGTATTTTTGATCCTGCAGCTCGTCTGGTTTTTAGTCTCCTTCCATCTGTTACACAAACTAAATCTAACCTAACGCTCCTCCCTCTCTCTGCAGGTAAGGCCTTCGACATCACCTACGTCCGCCTCAAGTTCCACACCAGCCGGCCGGAGAGCTTCGCCATCTACAAGCGGACCAGCGAGGGCAGCCCCTGGGTGCCGTACCAGTACTACAGCAGCTCCTGCGAGAAGACCTACCAGAAAGCAAACCGCGGCTTCATCCGCACCGGCCAGGACGAGCAGCAGGCGCTCTGCACCGACGAGTTCAGCGACATCTCGCCGCTCACGGGAGGAAACGTGGCCTTCTCCACGCTGGAGGGACGGCCCAGCGCCTACAACTTCGACAACAGCCCCGTCCTCCAGGTGAGCGCGTTTTTAGTTCTGATTTTACCTCATGAATCTTTTTTAAAGGCTCTGAGAGCAGAAACAACATCAGCTCCACAGAAAAGTGATGTTAGAAAATCTGAAAACAGAAATGTGACGAGAATCATGTTGAGGCACAAATTTGACCTTTAATCCTTTTAAGTGTCTTCTGTTCTTCATAAAGTTCTTATTTAGAAATAAAATAAGGACACTGTTTGAGCCTCAGTAACTACAGATGAAGGCGTGCGTGTGACGCCACCTGAGACATCGTGACTCCTCCCCTCACAGAACGAGAAGCCGGAGGTTACGCCGCACATCTGGGCACAGGGAGGTTTAGTTTGAGAAAGAGCAGCAGCTCCGTGAAATCGGAGTTCGGTGGGAGTCGTCCACACAGTCGGAAAAGCTCCCATGAACCAGATCGCTGCTGTCCCCTAAACGAACTCTCCGTAACCATCAAAGATTCTTTGTCTTTTGAATATTCGATTTGTTCCCTTGGAGCCTGAAACTGATGAAATATTCCCAGAATGAAGGGAAAGTTTCAGACCTCAGCATCTGCAATGCTTTTGTAAGCGAGTGTTCCCTCGTTCTGCAGACAGAAGTTCTTGAGCAGCACCGCCTGCGCTGCGACCCGCTTCCAGGCGACGCCCCCGGATTTCCCAGCTCAGTTTGGCCCGAGCGCCCGGCAGCTGGAGCGCGCTCCTCGTTGTCCCCTCCTCTTCCTGTCACCCGTCAGCGTGTTTGCGATTGCTTCATGAGCAGGAAGCAGAGTCTGTGTTCATTCCTCTCGCCTCAGTTTTTGTTTTGTAAGGTCACTCTGACACACACACACACACACACACA